TAGGCTGGGTGCGGCCTGAGACTGTGAGCATCGGAATGCTAGGACCTCTCGGTAAGGAAACTGCAAAGCCAGAGGCTACCCTTTGGGGTCCTGGTCAGAGTGGCACAAGCCCCAGTGGCCAGCGTACGTGCCTGCCAGGCCTCGGCACGTCTGTGAAGTCACACGTAGAGTCCAGAGAGCAGCTTACATTGCGACGTCCCAAAGCTGCCAGTGCGTTTTCACAGGGCGGCGAGTGTCCGTGAGGACCGAGAGCAGGTCTTTCTCTGGATACCTGTGGCGACCCCCAAAGCATCTCCCCCATAACCCCATAACCCCTCTGCTGTGGCCCCCATTGTCTCAGGATCAAGCTCCACCTCCTAACCATGGCGTTCGAGGCCCCTGGAGCTCTGGCCTGGGACTCCTTCTTCATGCTCAGTCCCCTCTAACCTGCTCCAGCCACACTGAGCTTCGGCAGGTCCCCGAGCATGCCAGGCTCTTCTGGCCTATAAACCTTCCCGTGCCTAAAAGCTTCTGCTGCCTCCCCTGTTAGCCTGTCGGGCAAACCCACTCAGCAGGAATGTTGCTTCCTCCAGGCAGACTTTGCTGAGCTCACACCAGCTCCCTCCCTCCTCAGTGCCCGTGCGGCGAGCCCCCGGCGGCCCTCTCTTCCCCTGTGCCCGGCTGCTGGCGCTCCTCATCACCAGCGGGCTGCGGCTCGGCTCCAAGCCCAGCCCTGGGATGCGAAACGTTTCGTGAACATGGGAAGGGCTTGGCTCCACCGCCCGCGGCCAAGGGACTGCCGCGCAATGGCAGTGCTGGGAAGTGAAGTGTAGAAATTGGGATTCGGGCGACAGAAAGAAAGTCACTGCAAAGGCCAGCGTTTGTCGCGTGCTGCCGCCCACCTGGCACAGTAACGAGCTCCGTGCCCCCGGCAAGCTTATGAAGTGGTAGAATTCTTGATTCTCATTTTTCAGAGGAAGAAACTGAGGCGGGAGGTAAAGTCACTTCCCAAAGGAAGCGAAAGCAGCAGTACCTGAAAAGAGGCACAGGCTTCGCCATCACCTGAAATGTCACGCCACCACTGTGATGTCTGGCGTGCTCTGAGTGCGGCTGCATGACTCGGGGTGAGGGCAGTTATGAGAGTGGCGGGTAAACATGGTTCATCTGCAGACGTGTCCGAACACTCCCCCATGAGTGCGCACCGCCATGCATGCCTGCCATGTCCCAGGCACGGTGATCCAGGCACGGCCCCTGCTGTCCACAGCTTGCGGGGAGACAGACCAGGCCATCATTGGCGCTACTGTGCTGTTATGGCAGATGACGGTGTGAGACTGTGGCCTGGCCGGGGGTGGCAGATGCTGTGCAGAGATGAACAGTAGTCAGGCTCTCAGATGTCCTTGTCCAGTGTTGTCCCAGAGCTGAGATCAGGCTCCAGCGCCAGGGCCTTTAGGGATTGCTGGTGCAGAGATCACCCCTGTGGCAGCTACAAAAAATCTTTTTGTTGTTTGCTGAATTGTAGAATTGTAGGCAGCCACTTGCTCATGGCTTGTGTCTGCACAGAGCTGCATGTTACACGTTTGTTACCCTGGCAGCAGGCAAAGGCTTTAAATAACAGTGTTGATAATGTCAAAAAATAAAACACATGCATAAGGCATGAACATACAAATAATATAAAAGAAAACACAAATGGCCAGTGGTCTTATCAAAAACAGTCAGGTCAGCTCCATTAGTTATAAGATAAATGTAAATGATCAAAACCTCGAGATTCCATTTTCTTATATTTGTCAAATATTAAAAGATCTTGCTGCTGTGGAGGGTTTGAGCTATTGAGAGTATAAATGGGATCATTCTTTGGGAAGGCTGTCAACCAGTATACATGCCTTAAAAATATCTATGCCTGTTTCTCAGCCATTTGACTTCCATGTATCCAAAAAGTGGCCAGAGGGTGTGGAAGAGTCATGCACAGTGATGTTTATCTCAGAGTCAGTTTATAGTTGATAAAAACTGGAAACAACCTAAATGTCTTTATCTCAGAGCCAGTTTATAGTTGATAAAAACTGGAAACAACCTAAATGTCCAATAAGAAGGCATTGGTTTGGTAATTTAAGGCATGCCTTATGGCAGAGGATGTTAGATAGCTATAAAAACCACATTGCAGAAACTTGTGGAGAAATGATCCTTCTATATCATTAAATGCAAAATGCACAAAGTACAAATTTACATTTTGTGTAAGGAGAAATTGTACAGTGTCTATACATAGGAAAATGTCTGTGCATAGGAAAAACCCCAGAAGGATATATTCTAACACATTAGTGTTTGTGTCCGGACATCATTATATTCCTCATTTTCTTCTTTTTGCTTAGCTTTCAAAATAATTGCACATTAATGCTGAAACCAGACAAAGTTGCAGGCAAGTGTTTTCTGGACTGTTGAAGAGTAGGAAAACCTGGCCAGGCTGAGCCTCAGACAAAGCAGGAAGGGGCAGAGAAAGCCCCACACGCGTCTGGAGACCTGAGCACTGCGCCTGTTCTCCCGCCGACCTGCTGTTTGGACAGCTCAGCACCCTCTCTGAGCGATGACTTCGTCAGGTGTGAAAGGGAGGGGTGAAATGGACAGTGGGTGACATTTTAGCACAGCATCATCTTCTAGGGTGTCCCTCAGAGGGTGTCACCTGCTCGAGGCAGGGATCCGCGGGCACATCCTGGCTGTGCCCTGGCCCCGGCGCAGGTGCTCCGCGAGCATTTGTGGAGTCGCATCCAGGTCAGCCCTGGCGTTGGAACAAAGTCCAAGTGGGATTTGTGATTAAAAACCGACGACCATTGCTCCCTCCCGAGATGTGAACGTGGCTTTCGGAGCTGCCTCCCAGCCTCTTCCCTTTCTGCTCCTTCCTCCTTCCTTCCACTTCCCTGTCTCCTGCTCGTCTTTTCGTTTCTGTCTCTTCCCTTCTCATCCTACCCCGCTCTTCTTTCTCATTCACTCTTTCTGTCTCCTTTCCATTCTGTCTTCACTGCCTTTTTTTTTTCTTTTTTCTTTTTCTTTTCTTTCTTTATTTATTTTATCTTAGCGTACTATGGGGGTACAAGTGTTAAGGTTACATATATTGCCCATGCTCCCCTCCCCCCTCGAGTAATAGCTTCAAGCGTGTCCATCCCTCAAATGTTGCTCATCTCACTCCTTGTGGTTGTATATACCCATTTCACTGTCTTTTCACTTCCTCTTCTCCATCTCACTCCTGTGTTTAATTCTGAAGTGTTTAATTCTGATCAAGTGGTAGCCAAATGGGAGCAGCCCCTGAGCCCGGGGTGGCAGCCATACTGGAGTCCCTCGCGACGATGCCCCCACCCAGCCCTCTGGTTTTCTCTGGTTTGGGCTGAGGCTCCTGCATCGGTACTTGTTGAAAGCTTCTGGGTGATTCTGTCACCCAGCATCGAGGTCCCTGGTTTATGAGCAAACGTGGACATGACAGAAACCATCACACACGTAAATGGGAGGTCACAACTGGAGGGCGAGGAGATGATGCTCAGAGGGAGGGTGATGAGGACTTAATTTGGGGGAGGGCCAAGGAAGTCCAGAGAAGGCGCCTTCAGCATCCAGCCTGCACGCTGGTCCCAGGAGGGCAGGAGGCCAGCCAGGCGGCGGGGCAGAGAGAGGTCCAGGCCAGCGCTCCGAGGCTAGAGGCCCTTCCAGGGCACGGAGGGTGTGGGTGGAGTGGGGTGGGGAGGCCCGCGCTGAAGTCGGGGAGCGCTGACGGCTGAGAGCAGGAGGGCCGCCTGGTCCACTGTCCACGTCGGTGCTACCGCTCGGCTGCGGCGTGGAGTGTGGCAGGGAGGGGCCGGGAGCCAGGTGCGGGAAGGCTTTGCCTGCCCTCCTGGGAGGGCCTGCCAGCCAGGCGGAAGGAAGGCACGTGAGGAGGCCACGGAGGCAGGGAGAGCTGGGACAGGCAGGTGGCCACTGTGAGGGGGAGCCAGGGTGCTGAGCGACAGGGCAGTGACAGCCGTGGTGGCCTCAGGCGCCTGCTGCAGCACTGCCCGCCCCTGGCCTGAGTGGAGCCCAGGGAGGCCTTGCCGCCCGAGGGTCTCCCTGCTAGGACAGGAAGGATGTGAGGGGCGTCTGTGGAGGGCAGGTGAGGGCCTGGGGAACAGGCGGGGTGGGGGGGAAGCGGACAGGGCATTTACTGTTCATTTCTGTTTCCGTCGCACCTGGCACCTCACCTGGCACCTCACCTGGCACCTCGTAGGAGCCTAATAAGTGCATGCTGAATAAATGCACCAATAAGTCCAAGACATCTGCTCTATCTATCCATCGAATTATCATTTATTAAGCACCTACTGTGTGCCAGGCTAGGGTGCAGGTGCAGACAAAATGACGCCATTTCCTCTTGAAGGAGCTCGCAGTCTGGTGGGGGAGGGGTGAGTCGGCCAACAGCACCAGGCGAGGCCTCGCTGGCGGGAGCAGCCCGGGCAGCGGAGCCCAGCGAGGACTGAGCCCCTGGTGGGTGGGGTGGGCGCTGATTGTCTTCTGCCGCCCACACCTCCCCCGCAGCAGCAGGAAGGAGTCGCCCGGAGGAGTCGTGATCTGCCAAGGGGTGGCTGGCACCGAGCTCCGCCTGCCCGCCTTTGGAGAGGCCAGGGAGAGACTGTCCACGGTGGCCGGTGGTAGCATTTGGGACTTGTCGACAGTTGAGGGGCAGGACTCAGCAGACGCCCAGTTCCCTCGGTGGGCGCTGAGAGAACTCTCACAGGGAGGAGACGGGCTGGAGCCTTGGGTGCCCCTAGGGGCCGACAAGCTCTTCCGAGGACGCGGTGCCACCATCACTGAGGTGCTGGGGGGAGGCAGTGTGCCTGGTGGGCCCAGAGCACAGGGCCAGGGCTGGGCTGCCAGGCCGCGCTCTGCTCTCTGAGCTCGGCTTCCTCACCTGTGAGGGGACTCAGCCCCTGCTAGGGAGGCCCCTGGGGCTGGGCTTGAAGTGGACACTTCAGCCAGGACACTGACGGCTCCTGGCGTCCTTTGTCTTGCTCCAGGACGTGCTGGGCTGTGTTCAGGGCGCCCCATTGCACCTTCCCAGGGATGAGGCGCCAAAGGCCTGCGAAAGCCAAGGCTGGGGACCATGCCTCCGGGCCGGTGACAGCCCCGGACCAAAGGCCTCTGCAGGTGTGTGGGCGCTGCTGTGCGTGCAGGAGGGGGTGCCTGGGCCACGTCCAGTCCTCATGATGTCCTCATGATGCCGGGGAGGGTGGTCCCACTCCACAGACAGGAAGCTGAAGCTCACAGAGGTAGTGCCACTTGCTCAGTGTCACACAGCTGGTAAAGGTGGGACCAGAGTGAGCAACACCCACGAGGGGCTCTTTGACTCAGGCTCACACCCCTGGCCCTCGGTAGGGTTCCAGCCGGGGGCCCAGCGTGCCAGCAGGCGGGCAGTGGGGGCCACGGAAGTCCAGACAAGGTCTCGGAGCTGTCCCACCCCCAGCCACACCCCAGGTGACAGCTCAGGTGTGAGGGAGTGGACTCGCTCCTCGCAGGTCTGGGATCTGCTGGGGCTTGGAAGCCTCTTGTCCCTGATGTGAACCAGCACCTCTAGAACACCAGCGCCTCTGGAACACCAGCGCCTCTAGAACACCAGCGCCTCTAGAACACCAGCGCCTCTAGAACACCAGCGCCTCTAGAACACCAGCGCCTCTGGAACACCAACACCTCTAGAACACCAGCGCCTCTAGAACACCAGCACCTCTAGAACACCAGCGCCTCTAGAACACCAGGACCTCTAGAACACCAGCGCCTCTAGAACACCAGGGCCTCTAGAACACCAGCGCCTCTAGAACACCAGCGCCTCTAGAACACCAGCGCCTCTAGAACACCAGCGCCTCTAGAACAGTCTGAGAACAGCCTCAGGCCTGGTTTCCGGAGCCGGCACGCAGGCACCTCGCGGGGTGCTGTCCAGCCGCCACGCAAATGCGGCTTAGGGACCACGTTACCCCACGGATTATGGCCTGGGAAGCCGCCGCCTGGTGCAGCAGACACTGCCCGTTTCTGGGGAGCAGAGCCGCCAGGCTGACCCAGGCCAAGTGCAGGGCTGGGGTGGGCCGGCCTTGGCCTAACAGCAGGCGGCGGGGGCGCTGGGAAGGTCTTTCTAACCCTGGGGTCATGTGCTTTCCAGGCCAGCCCTCGGAGGGGCCCTGTGGCCAGGGCTGTGTGGAGACTGCACGAGGCTCTTCTGTTTCGGTGCCAGGCCTGGAGGCCACGGGCAAGCTCCTGGGAGACCTGGCGGGACCTGACCGTGAACCGGTGAGGCCAGAGGCTTTCTGCCTGTGCAGGTGTCCACTGCGCCTCGTCAGCCCTACTGTGTGCATGCGCAGTGTGGCCACCCTGTGGGAGGTGGGGCCCCCTTCTTCACCCCCTGTAAAGAAGCTCCAGGTGTGGAAGAATATTCTGGAAATGGTTGAGAGGGATGAGACCTGGGTGGGGAGTGGGAGGAAAGGGAGCCCCACCTGTGTGCCAGGCCCAGGCTGCCTCGGCACAGTGGTCACCTCACTGGAGCCTCCTGACCTGTGCAGGGCAGGTGCTGCCACCTGGGCTAGAGGGCGGGGATGAGCCCCCAAGAATGCTGCGGTTCCCCAAGGCCCCCCAGCTGTCTCGTGGCCCACACTCTGCCCCACGCCAGCCCCTGAGGGCAGGGAGCCGGGCCTCCCTCTGGGGCCACAGTGAGTCACCGCCCTTCCCAGCTTCCGTTTCCTGGTCTGTCACTGAAGAACAGACACCTGCTCGGGCCCAGGCGAGAGCTGCCGCCCTGATGGGCTCTGCGGCTCTAAGTAGAGGGGCCTCTGCTGTCTCTTCGTTCGTTCAGGGCCTGCTCACGGCTCGTGCCTTATGTTGACTGGATGTCACGCGCCTGCACGCCCAGCTCCCCCCGCCTCTGTCCTTTGAAGCTGAGGGCGTTGTCTTCTGACGCCAGGTGCCGCTTTGCAGATGAGGAGGCTGGGGCCCCAGGAGTTGAGTGACTCGCCACGGTCACGCCCGGATCGAGGCTGGGCCTGTGTGGCTCTGGCACTCATTTCGCTGCGGGCAGCCGAGACAGTGTCTCGGTGTACAGTGCTGAGAGGATAGAGTGCTGCCTGTAGGTAGCTCCAGGGACAGGGCATGGTGGCACCCAGACGGGGAGGCCCTCCTGGCTTCCAAGCCCCTTCTGCTGCTGTTCTTTGAGAGGTCCCTGTCCTTCTCCCCTGGCTCTGGACCTGCCCAGCGGTTCTGGGGCTCCACCGAGAGCCAGCTCACAGCCCCAGGTCCTGGGGGCAGGCCCCAGGGCTCACAGTGGGCCTGGCAGAGGCCGAATCTCATCTCCCTGTCCTCCCGTGCCCATCCTGGGGCTCCTCTGTGAGTTGGGCCCATCCTCCTCTCTTGGTAAACATACTGAATAAGTGAATATAAACATATATTTTAAAATATCCAGGAAACAGCTTTTGTGTTCCCGGCACTGTTCTAGACCCAGGGGTTGAACAACGATGCAGTCCGTGTCCTCAGGGAGTGGGCAGCCTGCACTGGCACTGTCCACTGGAATATTCTGTGACCCCAGGAATGTTCTACATCTGCGCTGCCCAAGACGGTAGCCACAAGCCCCTGGGGCCACTGAGTACTTGAAATGTGGCTCCTGCCACTGTAGGACCGAATGTTAACTTTTATTTAATTACTTTACATTTCAATAGCCCTACGTGGCTGTGGCGCCAGTTTGTCAACCTGTGCAAGGCTCTGGGGGAGGGACGGAGGGGGTGCCGAGGCAGAAGGCGAAGGGGGAATGTACCGAGAGTGGAGAGTGACGGCAGGGATGCTCCCCATCCTGGGCAGAGGGTGGAGCATGTGCAAAGGACCTGGGGTGGTCCTTGGCCTTTGTGGGAATGAGCCGGGCTCCCGTGCACCTGGTAGGAAGCACAGAGCACGCCAACAGGTGCGGTTGGGGGCTACATGAGGGAAGGGGCTGCTTCACTCCTCGTCTTCTCTTCCCGTCCACAGCTTACTCTGGCTGTGCCCAGCTTGGATGGACAGATTCTTGTCCTCATCTGTGGCGGCTCACCAGGGCAGTGCTTGGACGGGTGGCTCCTCCCTGTGGACCTGGCCAGAATTTCAGAGGACCTCACAGCCGCCCCTGCCCCGGAGCCCTTCCTCCCGGTGCAGACGTGCACTCTCCCTCCCTGGGGGCTGGCTGGGGACTCTGCTCTCCAGCAGCTGCTGCGGCTCCCGGAGGCTCCTCCAGAAGAGCTCCAAACCCCGGCAGTGTCAGACACCAGACCTCCACCTGCTCCCAGAGCCGCAGGGCACCCCAGCTGGGACCGGCATCAAGCAAGGAGCAGCCCCTCCCTCTGCCAGGAGGCCCCACACATTTTAAGTGGCCGACTTCCCAGCAAAGGGCCCACTTGGAATGAGGGCGGAGGGGCCCCAGGGGTGAGAACAAGGAGGATTCGGGGCAAGGAGGAGGAAGACCTCGGGGACAAGTGCCAGCCCAGTCGGGGGTGCCGTGAGCACCTGAGCTTGGAGAGCAGGGTTCGAGCCTGCGGAGGCGCGCAGGGCGAGGAGGCGGCTTCGCAGGGACGGGCTGCTGCCAGCCCTGGGCGGGCACAGCGGTCTCCAGCGCCGCCACTGCAGCAGGGACACGGCCCCCTGGGCGGGGGAGGAAGGCGGGCAGGATGCGTCCAGGGTCTCCTTGGCAGGCAGCCGTGGGAGGAGGAGGAAGGGGCCCCCCCAGCCACCTTCTCCAGGGCCCCGGGGACCAGGGAGTCCTGGCCGGCAAGCGGCCGGCCCCCGGCGGGGAGGGGCGGAGTGGCGGGCCGGGAGGGCGCACCGGACTCGCGGCCCAGGCGCCAGGGCGCAGCGGCTCTGCCCCTGCGGGCCGAGAGCCCTGAGGAGCGAGGCCAGGAGGGGGAGGAGAGGGAGGTGCCACAGCAAGAAGCATCCAGGCTGGGCGGCCGGGACATCCCTGAGAAGCCCGACTCCCAGGAACGTGAGGGCGAGAAGACACTTCTCTCCTCGGGAGAGACAGGCTTGCCTCGCGGACTACCAGGCGGCCGGGGTGACCCCACCGGCATTCCCGGGGCTCCGAGCAGAGGGCGTGACAGGTACACTGTCAAAACAGACGAGTTTGCAGAGGAGGTGCAGGCCTGCCTCCCGCAGCTCTCCCTGCCGAGGCCTGGCGGGGGCCGGCGGGGGCCAGCAACCGCGCGGGCGGGAGAGAGCCGGAGATTTGTGCGCAAGTGGCCCGGCTCCGGGGAGAGAGCTTGCTCTCCGCAGGTTTGGGGACACCAGGGTCTGGGCATTTGTTCTGTCGAGGAAGCAGAGGCCAGAAAGAGTGGTGACAGTGTCAAACTGCGAAAGCCCACGGCCCTGGGCACCAGCGAAGTCCTTCCAGGGACGCCGGCTGGCGGGGGTGAGGCCGGCCCTGGCCCTGCAGAGGCGCCCGCGGAGCCGCAGGGGCCCGAGGAGAGAGTGAGGAGCAGGTCCCAGCAGCTCGTGTCTGCACTGAAGGAAGAGAGAAGCCAGGCTTTACGTGACAACGCCAAACTCCAGGGAGACCAAGACAGAAGCCACGGAAGAGTGTGCGCCCTAGAGAGAGAGAGAGAGAGAGAGGCGACAATATCCAGGCTGCAGCGGGAAAACCAGACGCTGGTAGGAGACATCTCTCACCTAAGGAGAGAACTGGACCAATACGTGCAGGCCGTTGCTCTCCTGGAAGACTGCAATGCGGAGAGCTACAGCAAGATCTCTGAGCTCGAGGAGGAAAACGCAGGCCTGAAAGGGAGGCTGTGCCGACTCCAGAAGGCCGTGTCCGAGAGCGTGAGGACAGCTGAGGGCGCGATGGGGCGCGCCACCCTGGGAAGCCGGGAGCTCCAGGCGCTGCTTTCGGAGCTCGGGGTCAGTCACAAAGAGCTGATGAAGGAGCCAGCGCTGGGAATGGAAGGCGTGGTCCGCGGCTCCCGGGGCGAGAAGGACCGCCTCCTGTGCGGGGTCCCTGTCCCGGAGGGGGAGGCCACCTTGCAGAGGAGCGCGGAGGTGAGAGGAGGGGCCTGCCTCCCAGGAAAAACCCAGGTGTTCACTGTGGACAAGGATGTTCAGGTGACTCATCTGTCTGGGCCCCCCTTGGAGGGGGAAACGGGTCCGACTGGAAGGCAGACAGGGCCTTCCTTAGGTGCGGAGAATTCCAGACACCGCGCTCAGTCTCTTCCATCCCTGGTCTGCGGGAATGCAGGAGTGGCCAATGCCCTGCAGGGAAGTGTCAGCCGAGCAGGAGTGAAAGAAGCACATGTGGAAAGAGAGGAGAAAGGGTCGCAGTGTTTTCCAGCTGGAGGACAAGCTCAGAGGTCCCCGAGCGACGGCCCCCAGGTAGGGTGAGTCTGCACACCTGCCTGCTAGTCACACATGCTGACCTTCTGCAGGTAGACCGTTCCAGTGTTGAGCCCTGTGAGGGAGGGACAGTCATCATCCCCATTTACCAGGTGAGAAAACAAAGGCACAGAGGAGTGAAGTCATAGGCTGAAGTCCCAGGCTAGTGAGGGTGGGGCTGGGACTCACACCTGGACACTCTGGCCCCAGAGTCTCCATTTGTACCTGCCCTCTGCTCAGGCTCAGCAGGGATCAAGGGGGTGTTTACTGATCAGACCTTGAATTTCTAGTCTGGGGTTTTTTCAAGCAGCCCTGATCATATTTCAGAATGTGATAAAGCAGGGTTCAGCCCCTGCTCTGTGCTTGCAGGCCTGTGACCGTGAGCCCAGACGCGGGCTTCTCCGAGTCCCTGTCCTCGTCTGTGGACAATGCTCGACCCAGACTTCTAGGATAAAATGCTCATGATGCCTGTAAGGTCTGCAGGATGTTTAGTGTTGAGCCCTTTGCAATTACTCGTATTTATTCTCCATCTCTGTCTCTGTCTGCCTCCCTTGTCCTCTCCCACCTCTCTCCATCCTTCTCTCTCCCTCTCTCTTTCATCTTTCTTGTCTCTCTCCCCAGGCCCAGCAATTTTATCAATCATTTCAAAGAATAAGCTTTTGGTTTTATTGATTTTATTTATTGTCTTGTATTTTATTTCATTGATTTCTTCTTGTATCTTCATTATTTTCTCTCTTCCACTTTCCTTTGCTTCAATTTGCTGTTGTTCTTTTCCTGCTCCGGTGTTGAGAGCGTGCACCACTGGTTTTCAGCTGTTCTTCCGTAATCTACCCAGTGAAGCTGTGCCTTTCTCTCTAGCATCCTTTCTGTGATGGTTGCTTCTTTGACCCCTGGGTTATTTAAAAGCATGTTGCTCAATT